GTCTGTATGGGCTATAGTTACGAATAGAGACATCCACACCTACACCCTTTTGGTGAAATACAATGTAATCTTAGGTAATTACTGGATAATCTTTATGAATTACATAGTAATCTTGCAAGATTACATGATTTTTATGCGAATTACATACCCATGTCTTCAAAATCGCCAAGGTTTGGGCGATGAATCGCGATTTTTCAAAATATCCACGATTAATCGCGATTAGTTGGCGATTTTTTGTTACATTCCTATGAAAGTACGAACAAGTTCGTGTTTTAACTAATCTACCACATTTTGATTCAGAGAAGGAAAAATAAGAATGCCGAAGACTTTCTTAACCTGCAGCTGATTTAATAATAGATGTCACATGTTACAGAATAGAAATTTAATACTAGTTTTTTGCTGATTGATAACGTTTAACAAATAGAAAAAAAAGACGTAGATGCTTGCTTGTTTGATATGCGTGTGCATGCGTATTTTCCTACTTTTTCTTAACATCTTTTAACTTTATTCAATGACTTTGCAATGCATTCATAAATTTGTCTTATTCGTTAGTACTTTGGATTAATCATATCTATTTTATCTCCTCTGTTTGAAAATGTCTTATTCTCATCCCATACACTTGAAGCGAGTGATAAATTAAAAACAAAAAAGAAATAAAAAAACTTCAAATATCAACAAATGGTTTACAGCAGCGCTGATAGCGATAAAAAGACCTACCCATGAGGGTGTAAGTAAATATATATATATCCATAAGGATACAGGCATAGGAATATATTACATTCTTTTCCGTATGATCTTGTATGATCATATACGCTATTAGTGTAAGATCTGATAGGGTCATGCAAGAATCTGTGACTGATCTTAGTATCAGATTGTTCGACCTGGATTGAGATGGTAATGGAGGGCTCAAATGGATCGTTTCTACTATCAAAAAAAACTCGATATATCGCGATTAAATCGTAAAAAGTCGCCAAATTGGTCGATTTTATCGCGATAAATCTCACAATTAATCGGGTGCTAAATCGCGATTAAATCGTCGATTTTGCCCCGATTTTGACGACATGGGATATTTATACTTGTTCAAGATTTACAACATATTTTCTTTTCTTATTTGTTGATAAATAAGAAAACTTGCAAATAATAAACTAAATGATATATAAATACTTATATCCATAATTAATATTAATGCTAGCTGTCGATCTTTTGATGAAGTTGAACGTATACCATTATTGTCAACAATAGTTTTACTTGCAGATGATTCAGAAACAACTCTACCACGTCTTAAAGTTCGAATATTTCTAAGCGCTCATAATCCAAATATAATCATTAATGAAAGTACTAAGATTTCTTTAATAACAGTATAATAACCTACAAAAGTAAGTGCACGGTCAGATTGAGAATAGCAAACCCAAAACTTTGGGTTTGTTGCATCCCTAACTTATATACCCTCGTTCCTATTCAAGTAATGCATTATCTTATTATAAATTATCAACAGCGAATCAAATAAATTTATGTTATTCGTTTGAGCATTTAGTAACTGTTTGAATTGATACAATAAATGATGATTCATGTTATAAATATTCACGTTGTTTTGTTCATTATGATTGAAAGAATTTAGTTGAATATACAGTCTATTGTTTTTTAGAATTTAATATTGAAGATGATTTATAGTGCTTAATTTCACGATTATTTTTTCATCAGAGATTATTATAGACTGATTTCAATATAATGTAAACATAAACTCGGATAGAATGAAATAAACCTCATTTGCATTTAAATTTATATGTAATAGATTCGATTAAATCATATTCAATGAGAAAGTCTTGTTCAAAGAATAAAAATTATAAATCTCTCTTTTCGAGTAGCATTCAACAAAATAAACATAGATAATTGTCGAAAACATACCAAAAATGAATATTTTATATTGCATAATAATCGAGTTTACTCTACAATGTATTAATATTACCGAATAACTGATGATGATATTTTATATTCATTAATTGAAAAATGTTTCACTATAAGTTATTGTTACGACTGTACATGAATAATAGATTATTATATTCTATACCAATATAACAAGAATAAATAACATGTTAAGCTAACAAGTAACGCTCAGCTCTTTCTCGTAGAAACGATATGTCTTCGCTACCAGTAAACTATTTATTCAAACAATTTTAAAAACTAGCAACAGATTCGAAGTCCTTACATCGAAATACCTCTAGAAATATGTTTTCGAGAAAATCAGTGTTCGATGTTCTTTTGACCCTGCGAATATACAATCAAGCAAACAAGAAATCAGACAATTGATATTATAACTGGACTCTTTTCTACGAGAAAGAGAACAGTAAAATTAACAATGAAAAAATGAACAATCTTTCTATTTTAAAGAAATTATTGTTGTCTAGTTGTTTATAATATCATGTTCAATCGAAACACAAACATTTTTCTTTTGTTATTTAATACAATAAAACGATCGTGAAAATTCAACAGATATCATTTCGGTTCTACTATAAAAGATCGAATGGTAAAAATGTCGAAAAATGGCGCTACCTATCATGTCTTCTTTTTCGACATTTTTACTTTCGACGTTATACAGTAGAACCACTATTTCTTTTTCTTTTCTTTCCAGTTCATCAGTTATATTCTTCTTCTTCTTCATATGATAACGAATTTTCGAGAACTATATCAAATGATAAAACGTGGACGATTTCTTTTCTAAACATTATAATTTTCATTTAGATCATTTTCAATATGGTTAACACAAAACGTTTACGAAGCGAAAGTTTTTATAATTTTCATGAAAATAATGATCGAAAACGATTCCTATCATCAACAACAAACGAGTAAATAAACAAAAATTTTAATTAAATTTTAATTATCAAAATTTTAATTTAGTGGTTTTACACGATTTGAAAATCTTGCAAATGAACTTATTTATGACATATTTGATTATCTTGATTTT